TAAAAACGCCAAATTGACAATTTGCATTGTTAATTTTGTCATTTTTGTAATTAAGCAAAATTTAAACAATGTTTGTCAACTTTTTTGACAGAATTTGGAAACGCTGTTGTTACCAACCAGGGTTACCAACCATAACATAATAAATTAAATTAGGCAACCAGCTTAGCCTAAAGTTTCTAGTCGATCAGTGGCGTACTATTTGGTATGATAAAGGTTATTATAAATTATTTTTAGTCTTTGGAATTTAGAAAAAAAAGCTTCAGGTGCTTCTTTATCAGGGCTCCCAGCAGTCCATGTTGCGAGAAATAGTGACTTAAGAGACTAATAATAAAAAATAAACGACCAAATATAGACCAAATTAATTACCGAAATAACTATAAAATGGAGGTATACATTTTTTTGGGATAAAAGATCTAAATTTGAATTTAAAATACATAGAGATAACTTAAAATTATAAATTTTTATTGAATTAAATTTAACAAGTAACCATAACTGTTATAAAATACATAAATAACAAAAAAAATATTAAATTCTGTAATAAATTATAACTTATAATAAATAGAATCACATTTATATAAAAGGCATTGGCATCAGTCATTTAATGGGTTATATTTTTTTTTGGTGGGCTGCAGCTGATCTATAATTTTCGCCTTTCGTTTTTCTAAATCTTGGGCAAGACGACTAATCTTGTAAGTTACCTTCCCCGCTTCTTTTTTGGGATGGTTCACTCCTTCAAACATTAGTTGAGCCATACATATTTTAGTCATTTTTTTATTTTCTGCACCCTTCCTTAATCGTTCAATTTAATTTTTTGTATGTCAGTACAAGTACATTTAAACTTTGTTTTTATTAAATAATATAAATGTATAATTTTTATTAATCAAAACCATAGTTATACACTTACCTTTGCTATCGTCTGAACATATTTTTTTAGGGTTATGGAATGGATGATAAAACATAGAATAGGAACACATTCTTTGTCACATGTTCTTTGATAGATACTAGGTACTTACTAATTTCATGAAAAATGCATAGTATAGGTAGTATTAACCTAGCGAACCGAAACTATAAACGTAAACGAAACCCTAGAGTCTAGGGCCTAGACCAAACCAGAAACAATTCAGCAATAATTTTGGCGGGCGGTTCGGGTCTGGACGGCGGGAACTTTAAATGTAAAAGTTTTCGAATGTTTCACTTGGTTTACTGTGGTTTTGATATTTATAAAACTGTGAATATTTATATTATTTTTTAATAGTTGATTTTAACAGAAAATATAGACTTTATAGACTTTAGGTAAAAAAATAGACTTTTATAGACTTAAAACAAAAATATAGACAAGTCTTTAAAAAAACTACCTGCTGGGAGCCCTGTTCTTTATGGACCCTAAGGAACAACCCATTTTAATATATAACATTAATAACATAACACCCTGTATATTAAAGTTGATACTACAAATTGTTCCCATTAAAAAAAATAATTAATTCGTGACTTTAAAAAAAGTCATTTGAATTAATTCGCGAATTAATTCATATGAATTAATTCGTGCCAACCCTGCGGAAAACAAATAATAAAGACTTTTTTCTATTGTGTACTCCATCCGCGGACAAACTGCATACTGGACAGAAAATACTGTACATTTTGAGCGCTTTAACGTAGATTTTGTTTAAACTAAATATCTTCAAAAACCAAGAAGCTACAGAGTTTAACGCAAACCTATGTAAAATGCAAAATAAAGCTTACACACCAATACAAAGTAAATGCTAAATAAAACTAAACATCTAAAAAATTAATAAATACCTATTTTCAACTATCTGAGTGTAGTACAAACATAGGTACAAAAATATAAATTAAATCATTTTTTCAGCAACCTTTTTAAATTAAATTGGTTGATTTGATATGGATCGATATGAACAGGAGCGGGTTACCACAGCACTAGTCCTAACTATGACGAGCATAGCCGTAAGTATGGGCAATCTGACCACGGTATTCCAAGCTGAAACAATAGCCATACAATACTGTGTCATCTACTCTGACAGCCAAGGCCAAAACTAGTTGTCGGACTGCTTACAGACGCTTTACAAACTAGGTAAGCAAAAAAGCTGACCCTAGCTTGGGTACCAGGCAGTGGCGGCTGGTGGATTTTGGCACACCCATATGTCAGTTATTAGACGTAGGACCAACATCAAATTTATATGAGTTTATAATGACATTATATAGACAAGTTCTGCGCAAGCAGAATTTGAATTAAAGTTTTCGAAAAAAAGTTAGTTTTTAAGTGCAACCCCCAGCCTCCTGCCCCTCCAAATTAAGATAATTCAAATTAAAGTGGTACAATATTTAATTCACTGAAGTTTATCGACAAATTTCAAATTTTATTAAAAAAAATTCAAGTATTTTTTTAAATTTAGTAAAAGAAATAATAAAAATTATAAATGGTATAAAACCTGTAATTCTTGAATTTTTTTAATAAAATTTGAAATTTGTCGATAAACTTCAGTGAATTAAATATTGTACCACTTTAATTTGAATTATCTTAATTTGAAGGGGCAGGAGGCTGGGTGGCACTTAAAAACTAACTTTTTTTCGCAAACTTTAATTTAAATTCTGCTTGCGCAGAACTTGTCTATATAATGTCATTATAAACTCATATAAATTTGATGTGGGTCCCATGTCTAATAACTGAGATATGGGTGAGCCCAAAATCCACCAGCCGCCACTGGTACCAGGGTACAGATGTATAAAAGGCAACGAAGCGACAAATGAATTAGTCCGAGAAGGCTCATCAAGTACGCACATTGGCCCAACACCGTTCTGTGAAATCGCAATATCCACAGCCAAGACCTATGTAAAGGAATGGACAAACAAAATGATTAGTGGAGCAACTACCACAAACTAAGACAACCAAAGAATTCATAAGAGGGAAATGTCCCCAATTCACGGAAAACCCTCTTAGACTGGAACGGAGGGATTTAGACGTTCTGTAGACAAAAAAAATGTTACTTTGTAAAAGTTAACTTTTTATGTTTTTGAACAAATACATCTCGACCCCAGTATACTGCACAATAATAAGTCAATCAAACATATTTATTACATAAAAACAAAATTGGCAAACAAATGTTTTTACTAAATATCTACAAACAAAAAAGTATCATAACTGCCAAACATATTTTTACTTAAATTGTACAAGAATAAAATGTTTAATAAAATATTCGTTAAATAAAAAAATCATTTTTTTACAAAAAATCTGGAAAATGACATAGTTTATGCTACAAACAAAAAAGTATGATAAGTAGGGGTGTGCGAATATCGTTCGAATCGAATATTTTCAAATTTTGTATTTTTCATAATATTGTATTTGCTACGATATAATTTCTGTTATTTCATTCTCTTTCCAAAAAAAAAACTATACTTATTGTTCTATTTGTGTAACTATATTTCATGGTTTGAATAAAATGTATATTGACTGTTAAATTCATATTTGAATATTGAACATAAGAAACCCTGAATTTAAAATACTCGAAAATTCGCTAATAATATAATAGTTTACGAATAATTCGAAAAAAATTCGAATTATTGGAAAAAAAATTCGAATTATTCGGGAACTTTCGAATATTTCAAATATTTCGAATTATTCGATTCGAGTTCCGAATCGAATATTAATATTCGATTCGGGACGAATAATTCGTAAGTTCGAATTATTCGCACACCCCTAATGATAAGGAACTATCAAATATATTTTTACTTGAATTGTACAAGAAAAAAAATATATTCCTTAAATAAATAATAATAAGAAACACACCAAAGAAATTTTATCCAAAAGTCAAAAAAATAGTCCTTTTTAAAGGCTTGAAGGGAAACATACCCCTTCATTTACAAGGATGATAATAATAAACCTTCAATTTCAAGTTATTTATGGAATAATGTGTTTGTGAAATTTATAATAAAAAAAAAATTAAAATTTTAATTTAAAAAAAAAATTATATAGGCAAATGATTTACTGAACCATTGGAAATATTGTTTATTATATGTCTAAAAATTTTATTTTAATTAAATATGTTAAAAATTATAATACAAACTTTTTATTTATAAATACCTAGTTTACTATAATCTCTCATCTATTTTAAAAGTTTTAGAAAAAACTTACCTAATTATTATTATATTATTTCATTACTTATTTCATCAGGGATGTTATGCTTAAAGGTTTATTAGGGTATAAAGGGTTTAACAGTTGTTATTATAAAAAAATGATTACCCACAATATTTTTTTTACAAAATTTATTTATATAATAATGGCAAAATGCTGTTAAACTTAAATTATTTAATTGGTTCAAAAATCATTTTAATAAAAAAATATTTTTCTAGAAATTTTAACACCCTAGGGTACAGCTGTACCTTAAAATGAGTAACTTTTTTTAAAAATATAATTTTGGACATATATAATATTAAAGCTAAAATCCTGTGTTATTTAAATGGAAAAAAGCACGGGTTATTATTAAAATAAAAATCTGAAAAAAGTGTTTTGGAACCAATTTTTTTGGACGACACCATTAAAATTCCACCAAGCCCATTTTAACGACCACCCTAATATAAATATTATATACTTTATTTAATTTAATCGACATGAATTTTTATTTGTATTACATTAATTTATTTGGCATGATTCCGAATCATTGACTCAAATCTTATAGAAAGTTTTATTTGTCAAAGATGTTTATTTAAAACGGCGCAAACAATCTAAATATAATTTATAATTAAAATAAATATTTTTATAAAATGGCAATAAAAACGCATAACCAAGCCCAAATTGAAAAGTCAAAGATTAAGGTTTATACAGAAATGTAATTGCTAACGTACTTGCTGGAAACAAGTATACTCAAAACTATAAAGAAAATTAATCTGAATGAACTTTTATGAGTTTCTGTTGCCAACGTTGCAATAACACAAATTCTGAGCTACGCTAATTAATCTATTTAAAACGTTTAAAATAATATTTTACTTACCCCAGTAAAAACCACAGTTTGTTATATTAAGAAGATCAGGCACTAAACAATGTATAAAATCTATTTGTGTATGGCAGCCTGTAATGCCATCTAGTGGACAAGATCTGAGTGTAACGTGATCTTGAAACAATGCTCTGAGAGATTCAACGCTAAGATCTGGAGGACAGACTAGCTGCAACCGCCTTAGACTTTTCGGCTGGCCACACTCTTGTGAGCTTAAGTTAGAACACACTAGTTGTACACGATGAATTGGTCGGAAATTTTCTGGAGGATCAACACCTTGTTCAATTTCTTGTGCGCGGGCAATACGAGCAGCCTCATCACAGTCTTCATGGACAGTTCGCAACCTAAAAGTTAATTTTAGATCTTTTGACATCACCATGTTAAAAAATATAAACATAGTAGGCAAAATATGCTAAATTTTTAGTTTGATAAAGATACAAATATAAAATTTGAGCCAAAAAAACGCGATATCGTTTTTTGCCGTCGCATGAAAATTCCGAATACATTGAAATAAAAATTCTGTGTAAATCCCAACCCTTAATTTTTCTCATAGGAATAAAATAGAAAAATGTTTTTATTTTCGTTTTTTCTCCCTGCTATGTAGGTAGCCATTTTTTTTTATTTACTCGGTATTTTAAATTGAAAGGAAAACAGTAAAAATGTAGGTACGTATTTACTTGAATAACACAGCTTGTACTCTTTAATAAGTTTACAAGACAGGCGTGTGCTGGGATGATTTTAGGGCCCTCCCACGCCTTAAATTTTATGTCATTTAGAGAAAGGGTTGGGGAACTGGTGGGGTATTGTATTTGTGATTCAAATGTTACGTCGGGTGGTGGGGCCTTCACTACTTATTAATAACCAGGGACTTGTAACGCGTTTCTGTTACGATGTCCGATACCGGGTATCGGGTATGTAATGATCAAAAATAAATTGAAACTAAAATCGAAACATGCGCCCCCGAAAATAATAACGTAACTTTGATTATTTTGTTAACCGTTATCACGATTTAGTTACTTGTTTTGGTACTATTAAGTGTTATTTACTTAATAGTACCAAAACGAGTAACTAAAAGGTCATTCACATCCACTTAATACTTAACTTAACGTACGTGATAGACGTAAGTTGAAATACATTGAAACCAATGCAACTGTTTACATTCGTAGAAAACTTATCACACGTAACTTCATCACTATATCCATGTCTACATTGCGCGTGCTTGTATATTGCGTTCTTTGCGTGTATTAAGTTAATGTAAACAGACAACCTAACAGACGTAGGTTTCTTAAGTTAAGTTACGCGTATTAAGTGGATGTGAATGAGCTTTAAATCTTGATAACGGTTAACAAAGTTGTTATCGAAACTGTTTATAACGAAAATTGCAGGTGCGCATCAACTACCGAAATACGGGATATTGAAACGAAACTGGTAACACTAACTGAGTAACGAAACTGTAACCAAACGCTGAATTTTACTTAATTGTACCTACTAGTTTTCTTCGATACACGAGAAACGTTACTAGTTTAGTTTCTAAACCAAGAGGCTTTGTTACGATTTCGTTACTCAGGTGGCGTTGCTGGTTTCGTTTCCATACCCGGTGTTTCGGTTCTGCTTAGTTCTGCTAGTTTTGTTACCTTAAGTTTCGTTACTCTTCTGTTACTTGTTCCGTTTCTGATAATGTTTTAATCTTTTTATGTTACTTGAAACGATAACGCCAGAAACGGAGTTTCATTTTAACGAGTCCCTGCTAATAACAGCTAGCTTAAATTTATCGCGCGTCGGGGTCGTGTGGCCCTTGTGGACAATTCATGAGGGCCCACCGGGAAACTCCCGGTCGCCCGGTGGGCCAGCACGCGCCTGTTACAAGAGCAAGTCGCGACTCAAAAGTAAAGGCACAAACATAAAAACCCACTAGGAGCTCAGAGGCGGTTCAACCATCAAAGAAGTCTTTTACACGCTTGTTTTTTTAAGTGTTATCAAAATCCAGCCAGGATCTCAGAGACGGTTCAACCATCAAATAGGTATTTTACACACTTGTCTCTCAAGCCCAACAAATAACAAATAAATATTAAAAAATATAAAACAAAATCAAAATCCAGCCAGGAGCTCAGAGGCGGCCCAACCATCAAACAGGTATATTACATGCTTGTCTCTTAGGCACAACAAACAACAAATAAATAATAAAATATTAAAACTTTACCTCAGTAAAATCTTCCAATAAAATTCCACAATCTTCAGGTGTCCAGTCGCCTGACCACAGTCAAAGAAGCAACATATAAATATTAAAATATAAATAAAAATCAAAACCCAGCCAGGAGCTCATAGGCGGTTCAACCGTCAAACAGGTATTTTACACGCTTGTCTCTCAGGCGCAACAAACAAAAATAAATAATAAAATATTAAAACTTTACCTGAGTAAAATCTTCCAATAAAATTCCACAATCTTCAGGTGTCCAGTCGCCTAACCAGTCAAAGCTGCAGCGACAGTGACTCTATTGGGTTTTTTTTGTGTCAAAGACACGTTTCAGCTGATAACGGTTTGGAGATGGGATGGCAATGAAATATCTATCTCTTCCCTCTTTCTTTATGGGACGCTGGACGGCGATGTCAAAGGCAACCGCAGTCAAAACAACGATTCGAATTGTTAGGGGGCGTGTGTAAGTTGCTAAGTTGCCACTCAGATATGATGTAATAGGGCACGTACAGTTAACAACATCCAAATGTGTACGATTTTTGGTTGTCGTGGATTTTTTAAAAGAACTTAATACCTGTAAGGCTGGCTTTTCCCAGTGGCGTAACAAAGAGAGGGTTAAATATAGAGAAAATAAAAACATTACTTTAATTATTATCGTTTTGCAGATTAAGACATTAAAATTAAATGATTATGTTTAAAAGAAATTAAATATAATAAAATAACAGTAACACTTTTTAAATTGTTACTCAAGTAAAGTAGCTGCTGATTTAAATGTTAGTAAAATCTTCATATTTTACATTTAAAAACGCTAACATGAACAACATGAACAACATAGCTAACGAATACAGGTTCTTGTATACATTAACTCACCCTTAAATTTCAATTTTTATTGTTAATTTATGTCATAAATGAATATAATACACTATTTTAGGCATATTTAGGTGCGGAAAAACCAAACTTTCGCTAAAATATATGTTTATAGTGTTAAATTCAACAAACTTTGCTTAAAACTGTCACCTTTTCTATGTACTACACTGAATTTTAATCTGTCATAATTTCCAATGACAAAGCTATTTCTTGCAATGTTGCCAAGTTTAGAAATGGTAAAATTATTATTTTTTGATTTAAAATTAAATATTTATTGTACAAAAACAAATAGAAATGTATGTAAAAACTTTAATTAATAGTTATTTATGTCATTAGGTTAAGAAGTAAGGCTTTTTGTGCTAAGCTCAAAGTTTGAAGGCCGACGCGTAGCGGAGGCCTACAATTGAGCGAAGCACAAAAAGACACTTCTTGGCCGAATGGCATACAACATTTTATCTTCAAAGCACTTTATATAGGTCAATTTAATTCAACATGAAAGCGCCCTAACCTCACTTTTTTTAATCTCATTTATTTATTAGCTAAAGATTACATTAAATGTACAATAATTATTATTCCTTTTAGAAGCAGTAATAGTTTGACAATACCTAACTACATGATTTAAGTAGAAATGGATTTTTGTAAGAAAATGGTTTACTTACCCTCTTGCTATTACATTGAATTCAATTAATTGTTTAATAAATAGGTATCTAATTTCAATTTGTTTGCATTTTTATTAAAAAAATAGGTAGTTTGGAATGTTTACGCTGTGTTTAACATTTAATTTTACTGAAAACTTAAAGCAAATTAAAATTTAAAGATAATTTAAATCGTAGAAAAAGAAAACACAACTGTGAAATGTGCAATGTCCTAACCTCACTTTTTGTTTTATTATTCAAATTTAATTTTACAATAATTTAATGAAAAATATTAAACATTATAATGTTATAACAGTAAAACAAACAAATTAGTGCTTATTATAAATAAATTAAACCAGTTTAGTACGTTAATTTCTTAGAAAAGGATTAATTTGTCAAAACAATACCCCTGGCGAGAAAAAATCGAACTAATTACTTGCCTCATAAAAATTTTTATCGGCCTAGGCCATAACAAGGTATTTCTTTATCGAATGTTGACAACAATAAAGTTTAAATTATAGACCGCGTGGAGATAAATATTATTATTAAATAAGTATGCACAATATTTTTGGTATTTACGAAAATAATGATATGTATCTTTGTAAATTGTAGGTAGGCAACCCAGATTGAAATTTAAGATAATATTTTAAATTGAATTGATTGAATTTGAATTATAATATTTTATTAAATAATAATCAAATACCAATAAATGTATCTACTTAATTAAACAATTAAATTCTGTTAAAATTTACTTTTGCATTTTATTTAATGGCATATGCCATATGATTTACAAATTTTGTTTCTTTTGTTTTAAAACAAAATTTGTTATTTTAGTTGTCATTTAATTGATAAAGTGTCAATTGTGATTTATTTTTGCTGTTTGCGTATTTGTTATATGTTTGAAAAATGAATATTCAAAATATTACCAACGTTTTTGAGTTAACTTCGAAACCTGACGAAGAACTAATTACTGCCCTACAACAGGCTGGACTTTTAAAAGCCCAGTTTCGTTGCAAGGTAAGAAACTGCCGAAGAATGTGTGAATTAAGAGCCAGGGATGGACAGTTTGCTCTTAATCACGCATTTTACTGCCGCCCTTGTAAAAGGGAGTATAGCGTACTATCGGGAAGTTTCTTTCACCAAATGAGAGTGTCTGTCCGCGATGTAATCCACATCATGTGGTACTGGGCGTGTGAAGTCATATTTTTTAACTCTTGCATATTATTTAGATTATTTTGGTATTTTCGTATTAATTGTACCCACCTAACAACGGGAATAATAAACTCATTATTTACGTTGCTAGGCATCAGTGATTGGCCAATTTCAATATTCACTGTGATTTAAACCAATCAGGATTTAAATTGTGAAAAGTGAGATTGTAACTGTCTAACAGATGTCAGATTTTTACATATACAGGGTGGTCCAGGATTAATCTGAAAAATTTTAATGATCGATAGAGCCTGAAAAAACAATAAAAACAAACCCAAAAACATTTTTCAAAAATGCATACTAACGGAGATATAGTCCTTCAAAATAATTTTTAAACCATTAAACCGATTCTTCTCAAATTTTGTGTAGGTTAAGCTTCCGTCGATAATATAATGAAAATTTTCTACAAAAGACCCAGTGGCGGAGATTTTGGGAGGGG